TTTATCAAAATATTTATTAACTGATATGGATCTAATATGTGGCGTTAGTGTATGTGAGATATTATTTCGGCATTGTATGAAAAGAAAACATTATACGAACTGAAAATATAAATAAAAATGCTTTTTATTGTTTCTTTAAAATGCTTTGTAAACTATACAATCGAGGGTGAAAACATAACAGCGCATATTAAAGTAGTCCCTAACCGGTGTTTATTGGCAGTTTAACACCAGTTTGTTTCCTTCTTTTTCTATAGTGGCAAAATCACTTGAGTGTTAGAATCATAGTTTAACTTACGTTTCAACAGCAGCAGTTACGATATCTTTGAATTTTTGGTCCGTTAATTTTCTATCTTTAACACTCTTGATACATTTCTACAAATATAATTTTTAAAATCACTAGTATAAATACGATCAAGTAATCTGGCTAAATAATTAATGGTTTCCCATATTAAACATGTATATAATGAGAACATTTTAACTAGCTTTTATAATTATTTCAAAGAAATTTTTATAAAACAAAGTAAGTTTCTTTATCTTGGATCTACCTGGTATTATTGGTTCACTGAACACAGTAAAATTTTTCATCTTAATTCAATATAGCACCTCTCTGATGTGCAATCTATCCTTAGATAATGAACCATACATTACCAGCAAAAACATTTAGCTTATTGTCGTCCAAAAAAATACCAACATAAAGAAATAAAATAAGATTATCGTATAGGATGATTGATTTTTTTACTTATATTGTTCTAACAAAAATTGAATTTCTCCAGGTATACTAGTGGACCTTCCATTCAATTCTTTATTTCCGGCACTAGTCAGGGCACCTGGTTAGAACCATTGTCATTGTGTAAGCTGGTGGCATAGTTTCCGAAAAAATTGTTTTAATCTTTCTTGTGGAAATCAAAAACCAACAGCTTTAAGAAGTATGGTATTTAGCATCCTGTACCTCTTAACCTCGAAAATCTCAAGCTAAGCTATACACTACTCACATCAAAGGTAGTGGTTGCCATGGTTTCCAGCCTGAGTGCTGCCTCCAGGAGGTAGTCTTTCAATATGATATAACTCTTCATAAACTTCTGTATTTGTTCATCTAGCTCTTTCATTGGCTGAAAATTTATTACATTAGGAAATAACATAGAAACACAGGGCATAGCATAGATACATGAAGATTAGGATGTAAGTTGTATCCCTACTATACTTCACTAGTGGTAATTTCTTTTTTCTTTTTTTTCCCATTTTATCTATTTCATGAAAAAAGCAATCTAGCACATAGTTTATTATTTTCAAATCATTTAAATTCTATGAAAATTATTAGAAAGAATAGTTTACTAAAAGTGTTTTAGGGATAACTTTATTCCTTTTTATGACAATTATGCCTTAAAAGTGTTAACAGGAATAAAAACTCTTTTTGTTTGATCAAATCTTCATAGTTAAGTAATCACTCACCTTTGAAAATTCTGGTATAGATTTAAGATAATCTCTGCAACTGTAAGAATAAAACTACCATATTTATAAATATTTTGACACTGAAAATAGCATGGCATTTATTTAGATTAATTCAACAATTTGAAAGTAAAAATAAGTTTACATGCTTAAATTACTACAAAGGTATCAATTTTATTAAGGAAAGTTGTAGAACGTGACAACAAAGATAAACTAGGTATATCAGTAGAAAGGCATTTTTACACACTGTAAAACAGCTGATATTCTTTGGTATCTTTAAATCATTATTGCCCGTTACAATTTCATATAAAATAGATCAAATCAGAAATAATCTATACATGTATTTATATATTTATATGATGCGGATGATCATTAAGTTTTTGTTGTTGATTTTTTATCATTGTGGTTCGATTTTATGTTGCAACAACACTGTAACACTGCAAAGATCATATGGCGACTTTCCAGAATTAGACCTCAGGTGCCCCTCTGTGCATAATTTCAGGCATATATGTTCAGCTGAGTAGAACCACTGACATTCCACAAGCAAGCTGGACAGCTTCCTCACATGAAAGAAATTAAAACCCCTAGCAGGATTCAAACCCATGGCAGCAAAGGGCACTTCCCCACTGGCACCCTATGATTATAAAGAAAATGATGAAAATTAAATTCTTAATGATGTCAAATCAACTTTTATCTTTTATAGAATCTACATGATGTAATTTATTATTATAATATATATGACATAACTCACTCCTTTAAAGAACATTTCAGGTTAAATTCTCCAGAACTTGAAGTAGTTTCCATTTTGCTCTGTCTCTATTGAAATAAAATATATTTCACATTTAATATGTATGAACCATTCATATACATTTTTCAGATAAAATGCAAATTTCATTAAAATAAATGTCTCTTCAGTATGTTTTTCTATATAAATAATGTTTTATATTTGTAATATATAAATAAGATGTTATATTTATAAGTTATGACCTCAAGCAACCCAATTCACCTAAATAAAAACTTTATCATTTTCAAAAATAAAGAACTGTTTGCCTCATCCATCATTCTATGATGTGGTGTTTGGCAAATTTTCTGATGCTCCCTTTTTTCTAAACGAAATAAAAGATATGAACAATTGTGCTGTAAGATCAATCTGTAGTTTTATTTTAAATTTGTCCAATATGATATATCAAACTTGACATATTTGTAAAGCTGATAATCTTGATGAAAGAGAAAATATGTGTTGAAATACTGGCATGGTTACAGATATCTTATCATGTTTTCTTACCAGGACATTGTGGTCTAATGGACGGGCAATTATCAACATCTTATATGGTTTATATTCCTGTAAGATAAACAAAAAAACAATGATTATAAAAACTTGCATAGAAGTACTTAGTTCATTGATTTATGCAAGAGTACAGTTGTACTTCCTCAAACTTTTGAAATATAAATGGTTATATGCATATTCATTTACGACATTGTACTTTGATGAGCTTATAAAGAAAAGTAAATCAATCAAATATGAGAAGGTAGAAGAACTGACTTGCCAGTCCTTCACATTTGATCTGAGATAGAAAGTTCTTCACATATAATCTGAGACAGTAAGTAAACATACCTTATTATATTCCAGTTCTTCACATTTAATCTGAGACAGGAAGTAAAACATACCTTATTATATCATAGTTCTTCACATTTAAAATAAGACAGGAAGTAAACATACCTTATTATATCCCAGTTCTTCACATTTAAACTAAGACAGGAAGTTAGCATACCTTATTATATCCTAGTTCTTCACATTTAAAATAAGACAGGAAGTAAACATACCTTATTATATCCCAGTTCTTCACATTTAAACTAAGACAGGAAGTAAACATACCTTATTATATCCCAGTTCTTCACATTTAAAATAAGACAGGAAGTAAACATACCTTATTATATCCCAGTTCTTCACATTTAAACTAAGACAGGAAGTTAGCATACCTTATTATATCCCAGTTCTTCACATTAAAAATAAGACAGGAAGTAAACATACCTTATTATATCCCAGTTATTCACATTTAAACTAAGACAGGAATTAAACATACCTTATTATATCCCAGTTCTTCACATTTAAACTAAGACAGGAAGTAAACATACCTTATTATATCCTAGTTCTTCACATTTAATCTGATCTAGAAAGTAAACATACCTTATTATATCCAAGTTCTTCACATATAATCTTGATCTTTGTCTTTGTTGGAAAACCTAATAAAAGATATAGTCATTAATTCACCCAGCCCTAGCAGCCTTAAAAACTTGATGTTGTCTTATAGTCTGACCAAGATCTCTACTGCTGACTGCTTAAACTTAGGATTCAGATAATATAATCACATTTACAGTGAGTTCCAGATTCAAAGCAGAGCATGTCAGTTAAAATTCTTCATTTACTGAAGTATGAATAATTAAGGAACTCACTAAAGGAAACTTTAACTAGAAATTGTCTTAGTTAATAAAGAACTATAAATCAGTCAAAACCTAGACTAGAGTTAAAGGCCTTATGTAGTGATGTCTACTAATAATCTCTATAACATGTATGAAGTTGCAAGCTAAACATAACCAGTGTTACTCTGACCAAGAAGTTCCAAGATGAGGTAATAAAATGTTGCAGTTATCAAATGTATGGCAGAACCCAGAATAATTCAATACTGACTATAAATCATTATTAACAAAAAATGATCATAGTACAAAAATTATCTCTAATCTATTTATATAAATATACAATACAGTTAAGGCAAGACTGTCTAAATTTTGAAAAATCAATCTGACATTATAATTGGAAGAAAATAAATGTTTACCTTCCTGACAATATATATAATCCCCATCATCTTCTATTGTAACTATCTGTTTATCTGATCGAAGTGTTCTGTACTGACTGAAATATTCATTATAAACAATTACATAATAAATACAATCATACTAAAGCTTGTTTATAGGCAGGGAGGTCAAACAGCCTAAAAACATGAAATTTGAATTTCTTACATACATGTAGATCAACTGGGGCAATTAAATCAGAAGCAGTGCAAAAGGTAATAAAGAAATATACATGTACTCAGAAATAAATTGGAAATCATATTTTTGTGTTATTCTAATTCTGTTTAGAGTGTTTATTTTTCGGACAATTTTCAAAATTTTAATCATTATTCTGGAAGGAGAAAGTGAGCAAAAAATATTTCAAGTCCCTTCATGTTAAAAACCCTGAATGGAGTTTGTTTAAATTTTTTATTGTTATTGAGAGAAATAATACAAAAGCTGATAAAAAGTTTTTCACTTTAAATGTCTATGCAAACATACAAATATACTTAACATACATGTATTAGGATTCCCATTTTCTTCTACTTACCCTTGAAAGAATGGTGACGGCTTTAAAATATGTGTTTCTGCAAATAAGAAAATAAAACAAAAACTGATCACTGTCATCCACTATTCCTGAAGAATAAAAAAATTTGGTATTTCATTTCATTTTCAAATTGTAATCCTCTCCCAAATATGACAAATGGTTTCAGCTTATCTTCTGGACAATATCACGTTAAATTTTATAATAATAATAATAATCACAGTTTAACTTTACACATTAAAGGAATGGGGGTTATATCAATAAGATGTCTGCTTCTTCATGTAAGGATCAGGAGTTGCAGGTTTTCAACATGCCTCTCACATCACCCATCATCATCCATGGTGAATAGAGAAGACTTTGGGACTTCAAACTGTTGATGAAAGCCTCACTCTGCTAGGATATATATCTGGGTTATAATTACCTGGTGCATTATCATAATTATGTAACACTATCATAGTAAACTGTGATTGTCCTGGTCGGAGTCAAATACCAATTTTATACAGCAATAATAACAAGAAGCGCCGCAATGCGACGAAAACCAGGTTTTCAACGACCAAGTTTTGATGTGACAGCAATCAATAGGTCAAAGTGCACTGAAGTTATTGAGTAGAAGCTGAAAATTCTATTGTAAGCAAATGACCTTGAACTTGCTCCCAGGTATCTAAGTGGCAATCCAAAGCTGCCACTCAGCAAGTTTGGTGTCAAAAGGTCAAAGCAAACTCAACTCATGAAAACTTAATACATTAACCTTGATAACAGACATCTGGGTAGCATAATCTCAAGCTGCCTCTTGATATAAGCTATCCATACACCAAGTTTGGTGTCAATAGGCCAAAGCAAACTAAAGTTATTGAGCAGAAACTGAGTTTCTATTTTTAGTAACAGTGACCTTGGCCTTGATCACAGACATCTGGGTAGCATAATCCCAAGCTGCCTCTTGATATAAGCTATCCATACACCAAGTTTGGTGTCAATAGGCCAAAGCAAACTTAAGTAATTGAGCAGAACCTGAATTTCTATTTTTAGTAACAGTGACCTTGGCCTTGATCACAGACACCTGGGTAGCATAATCCCAAGCTGCCTCTTGATATAAGCTATCCATACATCAAGTTTGGTGTCAATAGGCCAAAGCAAACTAGTTATTGAGCAGAAACTGAATTTCTATTTTAGTAACAGTGACCTTGACCTTGATAACAGACACCTAGGTAGCAATCCCAAGCTGCCTCTTGATATAAGCTATCCATACACCAAGTTTGGTGTCAATAGGCCAAAGCAAACTCAAGTTATTGAGCAGAAACTGAATTTTATTTTAGTAACAGTGACCTTGACCTTGATCACAGACACCTTTTGATAGCAATCCAAGCTGCCTCTTGATATAAGCTACCAATACACCAAGTTTGGTGTCAATAGGCCAAAGCAAACTAAAGTTATTGAAGCAGAAACTGAATTTTTATTTTTAGTAACAGTGACCCTTGACCTTGATAACAGACACCTGCGGTAGCAATCCCAAGCTGCCTCTTGATATAAGCTATCCATACACCAAGTTTGGTGTCAATAGGCCAAAGCAAACTCAAGTGATTGAGCAGAAACTGAATTTCTATTTTTAGAAACAGTGACCTTGGCCTTGATCACAGACATCTGGGTAGCATAATCCCAAGCTGCCTCTTGATATAAGCTATCCATACATCAAGTTTGGGTGTCAATAGGCCAAAGCAAACTCAAATTATTGAGCAGAAACTGAATTTCTATTTTTAGTAACAATGACCTTGACCTTCATCACAGACACCTGGATAGCAATCCCCAGCTGCCTCTTGATATAAGCTATCCATACACCAAGTTTGGTGTCAATAGGCCAAAGCAAACTAAAGTTATTGAGCAGAAACTGAATTTCTATTTTAAGTAACAGTGACCTTGACCTTGATAAGAGACACCTGGTAGCAATCCAAAGCTGCCTCTTGATATAAGCTATCCATACACCAAGTTAGGTGTAAATAGGCCAAAGCAAACTCAAGTTATTGAGCAGAAACTGAATTTCTATTTTTAGTAACAGTGACGCTTGACATTGATCACAGACACCTGGATGGCAATCCCAAGCTGCCTCTTGATATAAGCTATCCATACACCAAGTTTTGGTGTCAATAGGCCAAAGCAAACTCAAGTTATTGAGCAGGAAACTGAATTTCTATTTTTAGTAAAAGTGACATTGGCCTTGATAACGGACATCTGGGTAGCAATCCAAGCTGCCTCTTGATATAAGCTATCCATACACCAAGTTTGGTGTCAATAGGCCAAAAGCAAACTTAAGTTATTGAGCAGAAACTGAATTTCCTATTTTTAGTAACAGTGACCTTGACCTTGATAACTGACACCTGGGTAGCAATCCCAAGCTGCCTCTTGATATAAGCTATCCATACACCAAGTTTGGTGTCAATAGGCCAAAGCAAACTAAAGTTATTGAGCAGAAACTGAATTTCTATTTTTAGTAACAGTGACCTTGGCCTTTATCACAGACACCTGGGTAGCAATCCCAAGCTGCCTCTTGATATAAGCTATCCATACACCAAGTTTGGTGTCAATAGGCCAAAGCAAACTCAAGTTATTGAGCAGAAACTGAATTTCTATTTTTAGTAACAGTGACCTTGACCTTGATAACTGACACCTGGGTAGCAATCCCATGCTGCCTCTTGATATAAGCTATCCATACACCAAGTTTAGTGTCAATAGGCCAAAGCAAACTTTAGTTATTGAGCGGAAACTGAATTTCATTTTTTAGTACCAGTGACCTTGACCTTGATCACAGACACCTGGGTAGCAATCCCAAGCTGCCTCTTGATATAAGCTATCCATACACCAAGTTTAGTGTCAATAGGCCAAAGCAAACTCAAGTTATTGAGCAGAACATGAATTTCTATTTTTATTTACAGTGACCTTGACCTTGATCACAGACACCTGGGTAGCAAACCCAAGCTGCCTCTTGATATAAGCTACCTACACACAAAGTTTGGTGTCAATAGGCCAAAGCAAAACTAAATGTATTGAGCGGAAACCAGAAGTTGACGCCCCCGCCCGCCCGCCCGACTTCGGCATTACAATAACCCGGATTTCGTTGAAAACCTGCAGTTACAATATACTGAATGATTTACTGGAAATTAATTTGTTTGTTAAGGACTTTTAGAAACAAATTAAGATAAATTCTATATTCTTTTATGTTAAAACTTTTGAAATTAATAATACATGTAAATACCAATGATTGGCCCAGTAGGTCAATGTTGCGTTCATGTACAATCACTTCTTTCATCTCACAAAACATAACAACTACATGTATCTAAGTGAACCATTAATAGATTATCTAATATTTATAGATATGTGTCCATGTATATATTACCTACCAACAAACTTGTCTGTTATTCTAACACCATGCAGACAGTCTGATTGTGGTAAACAAATTAAGTTACGTTCTTCTTGTGCCTTTTCATAACATGATAAATATTTACTCTGAAAAAATAATTTATTTTTCACATTTTCATATTCAATTTTTAACATCTCTAATTTTATAAGTTGTCATTTTACATATACATGTAATATATAATAAAGAAACAAAGTACAGGACATTTTCACCCTATCACCACCGGGCCATACATGTGAACTTTTTTAGATGATCATTTAGTCGGAGATTTTTCTTCAAAAGAGAGGGAGATTTTAGAATTTGCAATAAAAACAAGAAGAAAGTTTGACTGACATCAAAAGAGGAAGATTTCTTTAATTTGTGTTTGAAAATAGCCCCTTATTTTCAGAAAAATCTTTAAAAATATGGCTGCTCCTGCTAAAAGTGGGAGAGTTCACAATTTGTATGCCACCCGCCAAAAAAAAAGGTCCCATTCCCAATCCAAAATAGCCTCATTTTTTGCCACTTTCAAAAAATAAATTGCCAACAGCAGCCAAAAAATCTTACTGCTCTTTATTCCGAGTAAAAAATGCACTTTTTTTACTTGTTTCATATAAAAAGCTGACACTTGTTATGCAGACCTGGGGTAATCATTAATCGTAATCATCGATTTTTTAATTGATTACATGATTACACTGTAATCATCATGTAATTGATTACCTTGCTCAAAATTGATTACATTAATTGTAATTAATCAATTACAGCTTAAATTCAGTCTGTAATTATGATTACAATTTGATTGATATTGATTACTTTCAGATTTTTCATGAAACTATTAAAATTCAAATGATTTATTTCACATGTTACAATTAAACTAATACTCCTTTATAATCATAAATGATCTTTAATCACAAATTGTAGAGTGTAAATTGATTGATTTTGATACACAACTAAGCAACATTTTTATTGAATAGAAAGAATGTTCTCAATTGATATCCCTATTTGAAGTAAATAATAGACATTGTCATAATAAACAATGATTGTTCATAAAGGTAGTAAAATATCAAGTGAGATGTTTTAAGACATCACTCACAATAAAGAAATAAGTTTTAATCCATGCACTGCCATTTTAACCAAATTCTAAGTGAAAGATAGACATCATTTTTGGGCTGGTCTTCTAACCAAAATGTCAAAACATTGGATTTTTGATGTCTTTGAATTTCCAAAAGAGATCTCTGGAAATGTCACAGCACAATGCAAATTGTGCCCTAAAAAGATTAATGGGCAGTTGGGCACACAAAGTCACGTTCCAATTTCATTACCCACATAAAGGTTTTTGTTTCACATATTTTGGTTAAAGATTCAAAACCATGTTTTAAAAGTTTTAAACAATGTAGATAACTTCTTTACTCTGTATATTCTAGAGTTTATGTCAGATGCATATTACCATATTTTAATTATATGCAACAGTTATTTTGTAAGGTTATAGACAATGTGTCTATATCATAATGGATACTGTTGTACCATTGAAGTGTTTGTAAAAAATTGATAATTTCTTTGTAAAGCCTATTGTCTCTTTGAATTCCCATACAAACATTTATTGTTTTCACACCTGTTTTAACACCTGTATACAGCATACTGTACAATTGACACTTTTCAAAATTTCTGTTGTGGAGAGTTCATTATGGAACCTACACCAAGAAGACTGAGGACCAGAAAACCAATGTGAAACCACCACCCTCTGTTTCCGATTGCCCAACAACACCAGTTGTTGCAAAGTATGCACCTTCTCATCCAAAATAACAGCACACCACAAATGTCTTTGTAAAGTTTGTTGCTGGTGGCTTGCTTCCATTGTCAACTATTGATAACTAAGAGTTTCGTGAACTTTGCAAATCTTCCGTCCTGATAGATGCAGTCTGACTGACAGATGGTTTCATGAACTTATGATGCTAAAGTGCAATGCTAAAATATGATAAAGTGATGTGACAGTAACTAAAAGTGTGTTAAATTGATGACTGTTGATGAGCTGGAAATCCTTTGTATATATAATGTATATAATATATATAATGTATATATTAAATAGCAATAAGAAACTTTTGTTTATAGTTATACATTGAATGTAATCAATTATCAATCAATTACTTTCTTAAAGTAATTGTAATTTAATTGATTACAGAGGCAAGTCTGTGTAATCAATTGTAATCAATTACAATAAAATCTGAAAGTAATTGTAATTAAATCAATTACTGATCAATGTAATCATCCCCAGGTCTGTTGTTATGTGATCTGAGCATACACATGTTAAAAACTAAAAAGATATTCCTTTGATATATAACCATGTTTTTCCCAATCCAAAGTAGCCCTATATTTTTCCTATTTTCCTACTTTCAAAAAATAAATTGCCAACAGCAGCCAAAACATCAAACTGCTTCTAATTTCTAGAAAAAAAATACTTTTTTACTTGTTCATTATAAAAAAGTGACAGGTTGTCTGATCATAAAAATGTTAAAAATTAAAAAGTTAAAGGTAGTTTATTCACTTATCCATAGTTTGTCTTATTATTTTTCTCCCATGGATTGAGGCCATAAAATTATGTTTTAATAATTTCAAATGAACAAGAGTAAAATGGATTAATTATTAATAAGGTATAAAAGCTTTTAAAGTACTTAGGGCCTGTTGAAATGTGTTCAATTCAAGAAATTACTGCATTGTAATAACTAATATTCAATGGTTTGGTGTGTGAGATGATACACAAAAATAAACAAAAACATTTACTTTCAGATGATACCAAATTTATCATGTACTATCACAGACACTTGGGGTTTGGAGCTCAAAACGCCTTTAAAATCCAAATAAATTGTATTATTATAGATGTTGAAATATGAAATTTTTTCAAAACGGCTTATATTAAGTTTTTTTGATATATAGGATCAGTACATGTGCTGGGATTGACAAATATGCATTTTATTTGGATTTTAAAGGCGTTTTGAGCTCCAAACCCCAAGTGTCTGTGGTACTATTTGTTTTTTCATAATGTCACAATTCAGACCTGTTCACTTATTAGGGGTGAAGATGTGTCAGTGGCCGGATAGCTCGGTAGGTAGTCGCGGAACCGTAACCGGAGGGTCCCGTGTTCGATTCCCGTTCAGACTGCACATTTTTCTCACCCTGTGACATTTGGCCCCTAAGAGGCAACCAACAACAACTCAGCCAGCTGACTTGTAAGAAATCTGTGTACCAGAACAGCTTCTTTCCGGCCACCATCATCCTCTGGAATCGCCTACCCATACAAGTTGTTGAGAAACCAACCTTGGAGGGGTTCAAGTCGGCGCTGACAAAACACACAACCACCAACTAGACACATTGCCAGTTTTTACCAGATGTTAAAAATATGTAAATAGCCAATTTTTAACTGTAAAGAGGAAACCAATTGCTGGGCATGTACATAGTTTTAGTTTCATCGCGATTATGCTCTATGAAGAGTGAGGCGATTACTGAAGATGATGATGAATGGGGGACCGTGACTGGATATAGCTCGGAGTCTAATTTACATTGCTCTGTAACTCTATGAAATTTGTGGACAAATTTCAATATTATAATTTATATTACTAAGCACGGGAGTACATGTATGTCACGATTCAGAACTGTTCACTTATTAGGGGAGAAGATGTGTCAGCGGCCTGATCACTCGGTCGGTAGAGCCATGGAAGGGTATTCCAAGGGTTTCAGGTTTCGAGTCCCAGTCAGGTTGCACATTTTTCTCACCCTGTGACTGTGCATAACAACTTTGAGCTGAGCAAATGGTCTGTTAAAAACTTAATAATGACTAGGCAGATTTAAATTGAATATTATCATAATGACAGAAATTTTCAACGCCTGCAGGACAGGGCGGACCGTGAGACAGGGCGGACCATACCAGGGCGGACCGTGACTCGAGACTAGGCGGACCATATTTTGGGACAGGGCGGACCGTCACTTGAGACTAGGCGGACCTTGATTTAAAAAAGTATTTATATGTGGACTAATGTAATAAAAGTATTAAATTATTGATGTTTTTGTTCTTCGTTTTAATATTTCAATGCATATATAAAAGTAAAAATATAAAATAAATTTTATAAGTTCATGTGTAATTGAATATTAATTTGCTGAATGGACGATGTCACTCGAGACGAAAGTATTTAATTGTGGATGATTTTGGTATTCTTTATAATATTTCAATCTGAACCTTTCTATGTAACATATGAAACATATATATACTGAACCAAAAAAGGAAACTTTCGCAAAGTAGCATGTGCCAGTTGTCAAGGGTACCACATAGATGTACACACTTGTATATATGTAGTAGCTCGTAAAACTCGTTTTGTTTGCAAAATCGGTCAGCTAATCGCCGTATAAAAGCCCGAAATGTTTATTCAACGTAAAAATCGAGTTTCAAAAGGATTGAAAAACTGTACTAACATATCTACATTCAAACTTGGAGAAAGTTTCTTTTTTGTTTCAGTATATTAGAGTAGTTTAAAAAAATTTTCTCAAGAAATTATTTGTAATTGCGTCGACTTACGCAAGTGATAATTTACCAATTATCGGGATATAACAATGTTATTGTTTGTATAAGGCGCTAACGCTGCTAAAATTGATAAACTTTATTAAACAATTAGACACATAAAAAAACATATTTTGTTGTACAATACACAAAATAACAATGATAACGAATAACATCACATTAAAATTATTTGCAATTCAACACAATAACAAAAAAATGAAGGGACATATTTGAAAAACAAAACTATCTTATTAAAATTTACATAATAAGCACTGACACATGAATTAAAATGAACACTGAAATAGAATTTATTAAACAATAAGACACATCAAAGAACTTTTAAAACTTACTGTATTTTATATTTTTAATTGAATATTTGAATTGAAATATCAATACGAAGAACAAAAACATCAATAATTAGTCCACATATAAATACTTTTTTAAATCACGGTCCGCCTCGTCTCGAGTGACGGTCCGCCCTGTCCAAAAATACGGTCCGCCTAGTCTCGAGTCACGGTCCGCCCTAGTCCTATAAATATGACGTCGCTTTGAGATATTTTTGCTTCTGGGCAAAGCAACGTCATATCGAAATTGCTCAAAAACCCATAGCATGTTCCGCCAGAAAATCGGGCGGAACGAAAAACAATGAAGACAGCGTGTATTTACATAATTTTTTACCTATTTATGAACAAAACTAAAAAATGAATACCTTTAGTCAAAATAATTAAACTGTCACATCCGAAAAATCATGATTAAATCCTCTCATGTATTTCAATTCCTTTTACAGCCGATTAACAAATGGCGTCCGTAAAGTGCGCGAAATCTGATTGGCTAATTCAAATGCAAGCGTTTAACTGAGTCAGAACAATCTAACGGAATATTTTTTTAACGAAATAATTACCCATGCACCGTCAGTGTGTTCGAATATATTTTTCCGTTCAAAAATTTGGAATCAATCTGTAAAGCACCTTGCTTAACCAGTATGGCTGATAGACAAAAATAGATTGATGTTTATATTTTATTTTAAATTGATAAGTACATCGTTTGAAAGTTTTTGTGTATGATTGAGCATAAAATTGAAAGAAAATATTATAAGCTTTTGAATAAAGCTTGAAAGGCAAGACAATAGACATTTTTTGAATTTTATATGATGCTATGCGTTTTTGAGCAATAACTATTAGACGTCAGGCTTGACCGACAAAAACTATAACAAGCCTGTAACGTCTAATATATTGGACTAGGTCCGCCCTGGTACGGTCCGCCCTGTCTCACGGTCCGCCCTGTCCGTAATTCATTTTCAACCAGTGTCACTTGGACATTGTTTCTCTTATGGTTCATTGTACAAAAGATTGTAAATAGTAAACTATATATCTCTACTACAGTCTGAAAAAATATATATAAAATTCTATCCAAAATAAATACAACCGACTACTAGTACACTAGTGTTAAAATCAGTGTTCACACGGACTGTTAGTAATGATTCTAACTGAAACGTAGCCTCATGCAATAAGAATGAGGCAAAATCTTTAGTTTTCACGTTAACCTTACTTGCAAAGCTATAAAAAATGGATTTATATCGAGTTCATCTATTTCTGACATTTTGTAGCAGACAGTTGACCTTTGACCATAGTAATCTCAAAACCAAATCAAATAAATAACTTTTTTCTGATATAGAATTTCATATAAAATAAACCACACCTTTAGATTTAAAAATAATTATTCAATTGACAGTGACGATTATATTAGATTCCAAAAAGCGAATGAGCTAAAAATTATGTTTTACTTTGGTTTGGAAACTATTATTATCAAAATGGCGTCATTATGGTAGGAAATTATCTTTCTTGTAATAAATTTGTATTTTCTTAATGTTTTGGCGGAATATCTTTTAAAATACCTATCCAGCATAAGCCCTAAGTAAAATACTGTAACTTTCAATCAATTATTTTCGAAATATTCAGGTTTAATTACGTTATTTTGATTAAAATGTGGGCATTATGTTTTGTTTGACAAGGTATGAAACTTGAAAGAGCTAAAATACAGTCTAAAGTCACTGAATGGTAAGTGTTAAGATGATTGTCTGAGCGTGAGAAACAAAAGTCCAATCTCATCATATAGATACTAGACCCTTTTCTATAAGATTCACCATGGCCTGGTTGCAATCAAAGGGACCCGGCACAGTGTTGGGATAGTGTAAAAAAGTAATTTTAGAAAAAATATATACTGTATAAATAATATATAGACAAGGGGTTGAACTCGCCAAATCGGCCGAATGCCACTAGTCCAGTATAAGTCAAAATTGCAAAGTAATTTTTACGTAAATCATAATATGAAATTAGGCAAAGCCCACTGCGAAAAAGACATGGATATACGGAAGTGTACGGAATTCCGTATATCATTAATATACGTGTAAGAATACGGGAAACTTGAAATACGGAGATGTACGGGGCCGTATATTATATCAGTCCGTATATGACTAGTATACGAACTCCGTACACTCGTAATATACGGGAACTTTGATGTACGAAGTCCGTATTTTACTAATATACGGAATTTTTATAACAAGTCCGTATATTACTAAAATACGAAATTCCGTATTCGTGCAAATACGGATTCTGTATATAGAAATAGCGAATGAAAATTTACTTCTGAATAGCCTATTTCCTGTAAGAGTAAAGAAATAGTCTGATTATATATTTGTCAGACATTTGACAATTAACACAATGCAAAATTTCCTGGAGTTATTAACGCGTCAATTGCGTACAAATGATATCGTCAGTGCACAGAACGTGTAAGACATCCACCTGTAACATGCAGACGCGGTATTCTAGCTCAATACCGCTTGGTTTGCTTTTTAGCATACACCCGCAGATAAATAGCGAATACTTTACAATTGCGATTGACGATTAGATAGTACTGTTTTGCATTGAATCATGTTATTTTGTAATTTCCTTTTCATTATCATTATAATATTTTATAGTGATAAGCCAAACATGAGAAAATGATAAAGTTGAAATTGTGATGTTCAAAACATGAATTAATTATAATAAAATCGTGAATCTGTGAAGTTGAAATCGTGAAAGTTAAAATAATTGTGAAATCACGAAGATGAAATCGGGATTGTCCACACAGCAATTAAATTTTACGTTGATATATGTCCTATAAAAACAGGCTATACATAATATAATACATGTACTTGCATATGTAAAAAAACCAACAATGATATCTCATTCATTCATTCATTCATTCATTCATTCATCCATTGAAATCATCAACCAATCATTCATTCATTTATTTATTTATTCATACGTTCATTCATTCATTCATTCATTCATTAATCATTTATTCATATATTTCTTATTTATTTATTTATTTATTTATTTAATCTTTTATTTCAGGAAACAAAGATTTGCGTTTCTGTACACAAGTTTTGAAAAGAAATCTTATAAAGTTCCGAATTCCCCAATTTTGATTTCTTTTCGCGCGGTCTCATTTATGACATAATATTGTGTAATAGCCACGTGCTGTATTGCCATAATTGAAGACAATACTGATTAAGCCGGATATTGATCCGGATATTGATCATAAACGCAGCAGGGTATATCGAGTGTCGGTTTTCTCCGATTAGGTAAGTTAGCGCAATTGGTGTTGAATGTCTTAACGGTATTTTTTACTGTCAATTTCTAATATAATTTATGTACGAAATAAGGGATTAAATTGTGATCTCATAACGGAGTCTCTATGTGATTTTGTTCCAGATATTATAAAGACTCTAAACCGACATATTAAAATGAAACAGACATAGCTGCTGTATTCTTTCCAATGTTTTTGCAGCGTCGTGTTGTTGTTATCCTTTAATTTGGCGGAATTCGTCATTTAAACAAGACACAATTAAGATTTATCTTAAAGTAAACTTTGAAGTACCCTGCCGCCAGGTCCAATTATAGGAAGACGGACAAAACCCCACCAGTTAAAACCCCACCACTCAAAATTTTATAGAGTGGACAAAACCCCACCACTTAATTTTATAGAGTGGACAAAACCCCACCACTAAATTTTACAGAGTGGACAAAACCCCACCACTTACCAATTATTGGGCAAGATTTGATGAATTAAAATATATATAACATACAGTACACATCTTCACATTTTATTTTTTAATTTCAATTTTAAAAGATTATACAAATAATTTACAAACTGTTAAATCAACATCAAAGAGCAGTCATTTATTTGAGACTGTGCCACATTTATGACCTTGAATTATCCATTATTTTTAGTTTCTTCAAATTCATTTCTTCAATTTATTTATATAGAAGATAAACTACTTACTATTAATCAAGAATGAAGCACATTTTCATCAATTAATGATTAAAAAATAGCACATTTTTATAGCACATTTTTTAATTTATTCAGTTCAGTCAATTTTCCTTCATTGTACTTCATTGTACTTAGTTTAAGTGGATACTGTGGCTGATAGCCTATAGAAACTCGGGTACGGTCTTCTCCTTATTGATGAGTTGTTCACACATTCTTTTGAGTTTTGCTGATGCACAATTGTTAGTTTTTTAACATGTTTACAAGAAAGTTTTGTCCACTCTATAAAACTGAAGTGGTGGGGTTTTGTCCACTGTGTAAAATTAAGTGGTGGGGTTTTGTCCACTCTATAAAATTTAGTGGTGGGGTTTTGTCCACTCTATAAAATTTTGAGTGGTGGGGTTTTAACTGGTGGGGTTTTGTCCTACATTCCCAATTATATCTAAGTTCACAAGCTAGAATCAGGTGGATGTCACTGGGGTTTATGTACATGTATTGTTGATAGATGATGTCAAATTATTCGAAATAGCATTTCTTGAAAAATATCATCATCATCTCCCGAAGTTCATCGTCTCCCATCAGCCGTGTTTATGCATAATTCTGTGACTTGAACATTGTTCAGGACAGGGGAACATGACCGTGCTATGTAAATTAACATTTGTTACCTGGTTAAAATAAAATTATGTATCTTGGAAACAGTTTTTGTAAAAGTAAATTTCTGTTTAAAAAAATAAAGTTTGATTTAAAAACTCAAGTTAAGAACATACTAAATTATATATTGATAGTAAAATCACTTTTTAAATTGGACTTTCGATTTTTTACCGATACTCCAAATATTCTTATACTAATAAAGTTTTATTTTAATTATGAAATCCGCTGATAATGTGAAAGGATCCCCCCCCAGTCCATCAAACAATTGTTATTGAGAATCTCGTCAGTTTAAATCTTGAACTTGATGTATTTTAACAAATTAATGCAATTGTTTTAAAAGATAATTTACATTAAGATTTAAAGTTAAAGGTACAAAAGTTCTTTTGATTTATTCTGTAATTCGTACTTATAATTTATTGATGATATGAATGTTTTTATGTTTACTTTATTATATATTGTGCAGTACAAATGTAAATGAATATTTTCAAGAATCGCTTTTCAAAGCTTATCAAGGAAATAATAGTGAAAGGCGCATACTTGTCTAGATTTATTTGAAGTATAACCCAAGTTCCCAAACACTGGGCGTGAGTCTTTTGTTTTACCCGCTTATTGTTGTTGTCACAAAAATTTGTGTAATTTATAAATATTTCTTAGCGCTTCTAAAACGTCTTTTATGATTGTTATTATTATTTTATTATTATAATTATTATTATTATTAGTATTAGTATTATTATCATCACCATCATCATCATCATCATCATTATCATCATTATATTATTATTATCACTATTATTATCATCATCATCATCATAAGTATTATTATTATTATTATTATTATGATTATTTATTATTATTATTATTATTATCAGGGCTCTACAAATTTTTTTGGAATAGAGTTGTCCAGGACAACTGACCTAGCAAAATAGAGTTGTCCCAAAATTGACCACAAGTGTCCATTAGTCTCGGTAAATGTTCAGTATGCGTAGTATGTATACTATATCCAAAGAAGAAGTAAAAACAATTAATTTTTTAATAATTTTAAGTTACATTTTGTATTTCATTTAGTATAAAATAGAACATTTTGTTTCAACTGAAATAGTTTTGATTGTTCAGCACTCTTCCCAGGTACCTTTCAGCACTGTTCAAGTTCAATAGCCTGTGTAGGCCTATATGTTTTGTTTCAGTTTTATTTTTTTTTCCTGAATTTTTATCCTTGATCTTGAAAATTTAAGTAAAATTATTCCAACATGAATGTAGTTAGCCATAGCCTCTCCCAGTTTCCAAATTTCACATTGGACATGGTAAATAAGAAAAAGACAGTCATTAATATTACCCGGTAGGGAAATATAAAATATGATAGTGAATTAGACTATTCAAATACTTACAAATCTCATCATTATTTATCTTAACAAAAGTCCTTTTGATTCATAAGTAACAAAAGATTTTTCATATTTCTACTTGCTGCAGAGCTTTAAACTTATTAAAACTGCCTCACGATTTATATAAAAAAAATCGGCATCGCGAAAATATGTGACAAATGAAAAATTTTCTGTTTTCCTCATAAATTATACTATTTTGACTATTGTATGTTCGAATGCATTCAAAATAGATGCTTTTTGGATATCTTAATATTGTTTTCCACTTAGGAATTTATCAAAAAGCCTGAAACAAA